TCACATATATCGGTTACAGTAATGACCAGAATTTGCCAGCCTCTACGCGCATCAGACTTATCGGTAAATCAGTTAAATTTTAGCCGTTATTCCAAATCTTTCTCATGCCTTCTCTCTGTGCAATAAGACAACTGAAAAGAACATGAGTTTCAAAGTATATTCTAAAATATTTTCAGAAAATGGAGCCTGGTTCATTTCTGCATTACAAATTCAGGGCAATATTAGCAGTGCATTTGCAATGCAATTTTTTTCTTTGTATGTACATGGAGAGTAAATAAATAAAATGTATTGAGAAACAAGCTCCACAAAATAAGGAATTAAGGGAAATTCATGGCTCTCGAACTAAATTAACAAATTGCGAATGATCACTGTTGAAGTGAATATAGTAAAATAAAATGTGGGTTCTTTTCACAGGTTCTATACCAATTTATCGATAAAAAAAAATCGATTTGCTTGATTCGTTTTTGCGATGGATGTACAATACAGTATCTTCTCGTTTTTGGTAGCGCATAATTTTCGACTTTTTTACTTTTTTAGAAAGTCCATCCTATGTTAATTTCTTATTTTGATTTCACTAGACCATTCTATGTGGATCCTTTCTACTTGGTATTTTATGATAAATTGTCCAGAAAGTACCAGCACAAATATTAAGAAAAATTTAGCTGGTGAGCACTGGCGTGCACAGGATGGGGCAAAATGGCACAATTGCCCCCCTTTAAAATAAGATTTTTATTTCAATATTCACAAAATTATGATATAAAATAACTTGATTTCTTGATAACTTGATTTGAAGGTGAAATAACTTCATTTCATAAAATAAGTCAATTCCTTTGAGATCGTGAAAATTGCACCACAAAGGTGCATGAAGGGACAAACTTCAATGGAACATTTTGGTCACAAAATTGCACCACAATGGTGCATACAAAAAATTTCTAGAGGGTAAATTTAAGGTTGAAAAAATTCACCTTCGTGGTGGTAAGTAGAAGAAAAAGCTATTTATTGAATATCTCTGGTGTAAAAATAACATCAAGGGTGTGCATGGAGGGACTAATCAAAATGAAAATTGGAAAAAAAAATGAATCACGCTAAAAAAATTTGCAGGTGCACATTTAGCTGAAAATTTCTGGTGGAAAATTCGCAACACTGTGGTGAAAGTAGAAGCAAGGTTTATTATTTTTTCTGGTGCATAATTTGCATCGTTCTGATGAATGCAAGCTTAATTGAAAATTTATGGTGGAAAAATAGGAACAGCAATTAGGGGGAAGGAAGAGGAAAAACCTGAAAATTGCACCACAAAGGTGCAAAGTGAAACAAACTTCCCAGAACATTTTTGGTGCACCGTTCTTGTGAATGGAGGAGCATGCTTTATTGAAAATTTCTGGGGCGAAATTTGCATTGCTCTGATAAATGAAATGAACGGAAACTTTCTGGTGGAAAACTTGCACTGGTCCGGTAAATGAAGGCACAAGCTTTATTTAAAATTAAGCTATATTGAAAATTTCTGGTGGAAAATCTGCACCGTGAACGACGGGCAAGCTTTTTGGAAAATTTTTGATCTTAAATTTGCATCCTTCTGCTGAATGGAGAAACAAACCTTAATAATAATTTCCCGTGTAGAATTTGCACCATTCTGATGATTGGAGGGAAGCTGCTTTACTGAAAATTTATGATGAAAAATCTGAAAATAGGGGCAAACTTTATGTGGTGGAAAACCTGCAACATTCTGATGATAGGAGAAGCAAGGTATATTGAAAATGTCTGGTGGAAAACTGGAAAAAGGAAATCAACACCAATCAGAAGTTTGGAGAAGCAATTTTTATTGAACATTAACGGTGGAAAATTTTCATCGTTCTGATCAATTTAAATTTTCTGGTGTAAAATTTTAATGGGGCAAGTTTGTATTGAAAATTTTTGGTGTAAGATTTGCAACAATCTGCTGCATGGAGAGGCAAGCTGAATTGAAAATTCCTGATGAAAAAATTGCACACTTTTGGTGAATGGAGTGGCATGCTTTATTGAAAATTTCTGGTAGAAAAACTACAACATTTTGGTAAATGGGCGGTCAACTCAAACTTGACTTCCGAGGAGAACCTCAAGGGTATTGAATGTTGAAGACAGCTCTAAAAGAAAAGATTTCTGGCGATGATTCCATGAAAATTCTGCGAATAATTTCCAGTGAATTCTGCAGATAGTTCCAAGATAATTTCGAAATTTCAAGGGAATTCCGAGGGGGTAGTCCACTCTGGCCGCATGAAAAATAGCCCAGACAACCAGAATGTACGTATATTCAAAGTTGTTTCTGTGATATACAAACATATATACAAACAAACAAATCGTATATAATGCAAAAAAAGGGCCTATACCTACAAAAGTGGAGGCCATATACGTGCACATTTTTATTTCTTTTTAAACGAGTTGATTTGACATTATATACGATTCAATCTGTAATAACAAATTCAATTTGAAAAACCTTACGATGTAATCCGATTTCATTTGTGCTACAGTACGATGAAAAAAAAAATCGTCGTATATAAGTCGGAAATTTGCATACTTTACGATTTAACTTAAACATAATGCGATGTATGTCATACTTATATGCGATGTTGACTTAAACTGTAGTTATTTACGATACATTCTGTACATTGTTATACGACTTCTGGTTGTCTGGGAGGTCATTTAACGAATTTTTTATGAGGGTAAATAACGATCAATTCAAAAAATGAATGCATGGTGTTGTCAATTGAAATATCCTCTTTAATTGAGATTTTTTTGGCGCGATTGGATGTCTCCTGAAGCCGCTGCACCAGGTTCCCCAGGAGACCTCCCGTCTGAGTCGTCGCGGGGCGGGACGTCTGGCGGTTACACCACTAGAGCTGGAACAACGAATTTTTTTGTGGTTATTCTCTGATAGATGACCCAGTCTTGTACTTAGCCGTTTTTGATTTGGTTGAAAAATAAAAATTTGGCGACTTTTTGAAAAAAACAACAGTCCGTTTTTGTACCCTAAAATTGGAGATAAAAGCTTGCACCAAAAATCCATTTTTGATTCTTATGAAAATCGGCTACGTACAAGACTAGAAAAAAAGGTACTTAACTCGAAAATTCAATTGCTGTTTAAATCGAATGAGCCGTTTCTAAAATACAGTACCCGCCAATTTTGAAAACATCGTTTAGAGATAATCGCGGCAGCAGTTGGAACTACTAAGACACGCCGTTTCGCCGGTAACGGGTGGGTACTCCGAGCGCTCACCTGAGCGCGCTTGGAGCGTCTGGACACGAGTCCACTAATCGGCCTATAACTTTGGAACGATTTCACTTGCGGGCTTGTGGTCAAATCTATGTCAAAGTAGACATTCCAAAGTATTTTTTAAGCCAAAAAAAAAGATTTTTTGAAATTTCCAGAGTGGACTACCTCCTTAAATAATGCTTATTCTGGAAAGAATTTTTGGATAATGCAGAGGAAATTCTTCTGAAACTTTAAGGGAATGTCAGTTCCAAGGTGAGAAAAAAAGTTCTAAAATATTCCGATAAGAACCTCGAGGATATTCAATTCTTATGACAGCATCAAAATATTTCTGGAGAGAATTCAAAGAAAATTCTGCGTACATTTTTTAGTGCATCTTGCAGATAGTTCCAAGATAATTTCAAAAATAATACCGAGAAAATCAAATTTTGAGTGAAATCCAAAAGGGATTTTAAGCAAAATTTCAAGCAAATATCGAGAATAATTTCTAGCTAATTCACTTCCAAGATGTTCGGAGAAAAAAATCGTCAAGAGTTCTAAATATATTTCCAGTGGACTTCTGAGAAGAATTTCAAAAGAGCTCTTAGAAGTGTTCTAAAAAAATACGAGAAGAACTTCAAGGATATTGAACTCTGAGGACAGCTCCATAGGATTTCTGGGGAGTATTCCAAGAAAATTCTGCGTATAATTTCTAGTGAATCCTGCAGATAGTTCCAAAATAATTCCGAAAAGAATACTGAGAAAATTGAATTTTGAGTGAAATTCCAAAGGAAAGCAGTTTGCATTGAAGAAGATGAACCGGAGCAAAAAAAATATAAAATTAGCTAAATTAAGCCATAGGTAAACAGCGGTGGGTGGACAGCACCATCTCCCACGCACTTTGGAGTACTTCCCTTTACCAGATTAAATGCACCATAGAAAAAAAAATTGCCCCTCCTTAACAAGATTCCTGTACACGCTAGTGCTTTTGATCTAACTGCAATCACTCTATCAAAGCACAGGGATTATGTAAAATAATTTAAGTGCTACTAAACTGATGAAATTTTGGATTTCGGTTCCACGGGACGAATACGCAATACCACAAAAGAACTCAATTCATTGTAATCAATGATTAATAATTATTGAAAGTCTGTAAGATTCAGACTAAACACTTATGGTAGTACATATTGCTTTTCAGTTCCTGACGCCCCAGTTATCCGCGTCTCGTAAGCCAGTATAATCCTATAAGAATAAGAGGAAAGGAAAACTGATTGGATATTATAAAAAACGATTCTCCAAGTGGCCAAGTGCCCTTCCCGTGTCAAACTGTCATCGTTGTTAAGGAACACTGGGGCAAGTATCTCTTAGCGGAAATGTGATTATTTTCAATCTAGTACTTTGCGCTAGTGCACAATGCCACTCAAAAATAATCACTTCTGCTTATAGAGATGCTATCCGTTTCATCTTCCCCGCACGCTTCAACTTGCCCCGGTGTACCTTGCATAAGATTTTTTTCTGCTTATTAATCCCGTTGCGACAGATTCTTTCAACGTCTGGCGCGCCCATCCGAAACCCTCTAAAGAGAAAACGAAAACAGTTTTCCGATAACATCGCTCCGCAGCTTCCATTTTGCTATGATCCACCGTTTTCCCTTGAGGCCAGGAAAATATTTGTCCCTGCTTAGTCCCAGCACACCAGAATACTAATGCCCTCTCGCTTGCTCTCTCTCTCACTCTTTTACTAACGTTATCTTTTCATTCCATTTACTTCTTCGCAGACACAACGAGTCCAGCATCTACAAGATGCTCGACTGGCAGAAGCCGGGCAAATCGATTGTGATTTGTGCATTGGGAGTCTTTTTCGTCTTTATCATTCACTTCGTTTGCTACTGTATGTACTGTCTGAGGGTGTGGCTGTACGCGCGGTTCTGCCTTCCGGAGCCGACCAGAAATGGGTCCCGCAGTGCCGATAAGATTAGCTGCATCACCAGAAGCCTCTCGACGATGGAGGAATCGCAGCGGGAACAGTTCCTCAACCCTTCGACCGTCATCGATCTCAAGTGATACGAGGAAGGAGGACAACCGCCACAGCCACAACCATCTGGCTCCTCCGCCTACCGGGTCGGAGGCGGTAATCCTTCGGCCCAACAACAACAACAACAACAACAACAACAACAACAACAACAACAACAACATCAACATCAACATCAACAGCAGCAACAACAGCAACAACAGCAACAACATCAACAACCGAAACCAAAACAGTATCATCATCAAGAGCCACAACAGTCATTCACGTGCGCTCGTTAGCTCAAGTAAATTATAATCTCTTTCTCAGTCAAGAGTCATTGTTCGGTAGCAACCCGTTGGAGGGAAGAAATATCTCTCGCAGAAGTTTGATTAAAAGGTAAATTAAACTCTAACAATAACCAACACGGCAAAACAAAACAAACCAAAACAAAAAAAAAACAGAAGAAGAGTTGATTATAGCGCAGTAACAAATTGTGTAAATTGGTAATAAGATTTTAAGTAGGTGGTTAGCTGAAGGTGAGTTTTTGTATACAGTTTTAAACCACAGAAAGTTTAAAAAAAATTATTAATCGACTGTTAAGAAGCATGAAACTATGCGTAGATTCATTGATATATACATAAATATGTATCGCCACGATTAGCAATGAATAGCGTGTGATCGATGATAGTTTTCGATCTCAGGATACAACATTTCTGGCGGTGAGCAGTGATAGTCACGTTCCTATGTTTTGAAGTAGTAGGTTACAGTATTATTTCCAGTATAATTATTTTCCCATAAAGCATGCGTTCGTTTTGTTTTGCACAGATCTCGTGATTGATTTAAATAATTTATGAAAATTGTGCTTCCAAATAACTGCTGCAATCTTTTTGATATGTTACTTTATATTAATTTATAGAAATGTATCGTTTACGGTATCCCGGGGCAAGTTGAAACGCACCGGGAGTTGAAACGGAAGGCGTATCTCGTAGTAGAAGCGAATAATCACTGTGGTTATTTTTAATACAGTAATTACGCTAGTGCACAATGCCGCTAAAAAAGATACTCTGTCCGTTTCACCATTCCTGCACGTGTCAACTTGCCCCGGTGTACCTTACATATAATTATGTGCTCTGCAACGGGCAGTGCAAGTGAATTTTCGTGCAAGAATTTTCTCCCCGGCACTTACAGGAATTGAATGACTTTTGTGTCCGCCGCTCAGGAACGAAAAGTGTATCGCTAGTTGGAATGATTTTTTTTTTTTGAACGGTTGTTATAAAATTAATAAGCTCTCATTAACACCTAGGTTTGATATTACATTGGTATGAAAATATACCCGCGTGAAACATGGTTGTTTGATTCAATTAGAATTGTTTGTATTTATTGGCTCAACATATTCAAAGGTTTGACGGTTGTTCCTTCATATCAACTTGAGTTAATTTTAGTGGGGACATCATTGAATTGCCTCAACTTCAAATGGGGATGATCAGGGTTGCTTCAACCCACTTGCTATAAAAAATTTTTTTTTCGGAATTATGAAATCATTAAATGATATAATGATATTTGGAACATGTAAGTAACAGAAAGAGGTTGTAAAGTATGTGTTTGACTCATAAAACCTGTCAATTTTGCCTTTAGAGCATCACAATCAGCGATTTTATGATTCCTGAGCATTCCCTCAGCGTGAGTGCTCACGAATCGTAAAATCGCTGATTCTGGTTTTATGCGGCAAACATATACTTCGTGACCTGACTTGTAGCTTACAAGTACTAATTATCATTATAACATCTAATGATTTCATAATTCCGAAAAACAATTTTTTATAGCAAGTGAGATGAATCAACCCTGGTGGTGATTAACTGCGATTACACAAACAAGAAGAAAAAATTTTGACGAGAAAGTTGTATAAACTTGAAGAACAAACACCACATTGATTGTGATTAAAATGCAGATGTGAACATGTACATGTTTAAGATATTTGCAGAACAACTGCAAGGTGACATAAGGCTGCGAAAATCTCAAAAACTCAAATCTCATGGCTACTATTTTTGCCTTGCGATTTTCAATTGCGCAATATTCACCGATGAGATTTACGGTTCAAAAATGCATTGCTTTATATTTTGGCATTTTTCATTGATGTTAGTGTTTAATTTGTATTATTCAATGGTAAACTAACATACATGTGCATTGTGCATGCTATCATTTGACGTTTGAGCGGTTTTTATGAGTTTTAAATTGAACCTTGGAATGATTTTTAGGCATTGAAAATGTGAGTGCTTGAAAATGCACGAGATGAAAATCTCAACGAATGAGATTTGAGAATGATTTGGATTTCAAGATGACGGTTTCCGGTTAGCCGTAAAAATCATCAAAATTCCTTTAATATGGACGCTACAAATACATGGATTTGGCACAAGATATTTTGTATACATGAGGCATTCTGTACATGAACCTAAACAATTAAATTGAACTTTTAGCCATGGCTTCAAGTAAAAAAAAAACACGTCCCACATATGAATTTTAATAATCGAATTACTATAATATGCACCATAGATCACTTTTCCAATGTATTCTATTATGATAGTTATTTTCAATGTGATCTTCTTACATCTAAATAATACGGGTAGTCAGATCTTGGAATTCAAAATGCTCAAACGTCCTACCAAAGAACTCAATTCACCTAGTTGCTCCAGTTATTAAGATTTGTTTATGGGATTTGGCTTAATTGACTAAATCCTCGGATACCTCGTAATTCTGGGGTTTACATGAACGTCGGCCATACGTTTGGCAATGTGCTTCAACACTTTTACATGGTGATTTTCAGACCAGCAGGTGAATTCCGAGCAGAACAAGAAATTTCTACATAAACCTAATATGCAGAAATGTCTTTCTCTTCGATGAAATGTATGCCCGGAATTCAGCTGCAGGTATGACATGTACAGGCTTACAATTTTTAAATACATTACTGCAACTTCGGGTTTCGGCCTCATAGCCTAGTCAGTAAAGGCACGGTATTACCATGCCGGAGGCGGCGGGTTCGATTCCAGGTCCGGTCAAGGGAATCTTTCGGGTCGGAAATTTTCTCGACTTCCCTGGCATTGTGCTTGCCATACAATATACAAATTCATGCATTGGTATTGGCATCGAAAGCTCTCAATTAATAACTGTGGATTTGTATTTAGAACACTAAGTTGCCCTAAGCAATAAGCTTGAAATGCGAATAAGATGAAGGAGAACTTCGAGTTTATGAAAAAAAATTGCTTTTAATATTGATATTTTCGGATCGGAGCCACGTGTAGAGTCTGTAATTCCGACTCGAGACGTAGCGGTACAGAGCCACAGGATTGAACATACGAACCAGCGTTGCCAGATTGTTTTCAAGCTTATTGGTATCATAGGTTTTAAAAAAAATCGGTATTTATCGGTATTTGCTATTTTAATCAAAATTTTATTTTTGCCGTTTTTGAAGGCGAAAATTTAATTTTTTGGAGTACAAACAGCCTTTCTATAATAGTCGTAATAAATTTCCAAGAAATGTGTTAGTTAACTTCTAAAGCAAGCTGAAAAAACTTCCAGAAAAAGAAGAAAGAAGCTCTTCTGGAGGATGTTTGAAAAAAGTTGTAAAAACATCTTGGGAACTTCCAAGAAAAATGTCAAAAATTTAAAGAAACTTTCAGGAAAAAGTTAGGAAGATTTTGGAAATCTGAAGAAAATTCCAGGAGTAGACATTTCCTGGAGAAGCTAGAAGCAACTCTGAATTTTTTTCCAATAGAAGTCCGGAAAAAACTCATGGAGAAACTTTCAGAGGAAGATGAAAGAAGCTTCTGGGATAATTCACTAGATACTTCCTTTAAAAGATTAAATGATCTTCCTGGAGAAGACGGAAGAAACTTCCTGGACGCGCTGGAAGAAACTTTCTGAGGTAGTTTTGAAGAAACTTTTGAAGAAATTTGGAAGCTTCCTCCTATGGTTTTCGGGACAGGCAAAATAAACTTATAGGAGAAGTTTAGAAAACAAAATTCCAGAAGAAAGAGATTTCTGGGGGATGTCGAATGAAAATTCAGATAGAGATCGGTAGAATCTTTTAGGGAATGATAGCACAATATTCCGGGGCGGTAAAAAACGGAAGAACCTCTCGAGCGAAGTCAGAAGAAGCTTCCGAGGGAAATCGAAATATCTTTCCAGTAGGAATCGGAAAAATAACTTACAGGGGAAAGGTTGAATAAAATTCCAGATGAAAATTGGAAGAAACTTCAAAGGGAAGATTGAATAATCTTAAGCAGTTAAAAAAATTTACTTTTTTTGGTCACATAAAAGATAAAAGTATTTCCCGATTATAAGTTGTTTCACGAATCCTGGGGCAAATACGGTGAGGAAATGGAAATACTAGTTGAAAGAGTATCAAACATAAGAAGTTATTAAATATGAATCACTTTTTTAGCTCTCAAATAAAATTTGACATATTTAAATAGATAAAAGTCTCTAACAATAGTTTTCTCTGAAAGTTTGCAGGCAGGCAAAAATCATTATGATTATTTAAAAAATCGGTATAAATCGGTATTCTGAGACACCTTATCTGCATATCGGTATCATGTTCATAAATCGGTACAAATACCGAAAAATCAGTATTTCTGGCAACGCTGGTACGAACCTTATATAGAGCACACTACTCAACTTTGTGCACTGTTCGCAGGAAGATATTTTGTCGACAGCTCTTCGGCACAATTCCCTCGAAATCCGTGAAACTTAAGCCCCCTTTTACGATCTTCATAATTTCGTACGGCTAACTGTTCGTTCCGCCTACCGATGGTTAGCCACTTCACGTTTACCTTAGAAATTCCGGAAAACTTCTGTACGCGCTTGGACTCACTCACCCAAGTACCAGAGAATTGTTCCGCGCACTACAATGTCCACTGTAATCCCACGGGATCAACGGGGTCTATGCTGATTGGTTCGATCAACGCTGGTCTGATTGTACTCCTGAAGACGGTGCAATACTCACTGAACGGTTTGCAGTTAACTCGGTGCCATCTGGGTTGGACGATTCACGGAGTAATTGAACCGAACGCTGCTGGATCAAACGATCATCATGCTTTCCTGGTGTGTTCTGAAGACAACGACATCGAGCTAACGGATCTGGTGAAGCAGATGTACAAGGTGGAAGACTTTGGCATCACTGGTCAGTCCCCAAAGATAGCAGACGAAGATCAACGTGCACTGGATATAATGAACCGTACAATCACGCAACGAGGAGAACGCTTCGAGGTAGGACAGATCTACAAGTACAATAACTTCAACGATAACTTTTCCGGATAGCAAGCCACATGCACTGCGTCGACTTCAGATCACCGAGAAGAAGATGGATTCCGATCCTGATTTCGCTGAGAAATACTGTAGTAGGATCCAGGACTACGTTGAGAAGAGATATGCTCGAAAACTGGAGCCTGAAGAACTTGCTGAAACACCGAACACCTGGTATTTGTCTCACTTCAGCGTGGTAACTGCCGATAAGTTCCGATTGGTTATGCACTGATTTTCGTTGAACGATCTGCTACTGAAAGGTCCTAATTTCGTTCCCGCGCGCTAGGAAGAAGAAGATTGCTTTTGTGGCGGACATTATGACATCATCATTCGTAGATTGGATCAGAACTCCCAGCGTTTCTTTTTCCGTGGTATGGATCGCTCTAGCCTACCCCTCCCCCGCCCCTAGCGTAAACATTATGATGGTGATGATATTTGGCGCTGTGTCTTCTCCTTCGATGGCACAATTCATCAAAAACTTCAATGCAATGGAACTGGAGGAAAAGTACCCTGGCGTTGAACGAGCTGTGCTGGAACAACACTACGTCGATGACTATTTTGATTGCGCGGACACGAAGGAAGAAGCCATTTAACTGGTGCAGCGAGTGGTGAAGGCACACGATCACGGAGGATGCAAACTGGTGAAACTGGGATTCGCTTGACCCTTCTTTGGTCGCCGAGAAGAAAGGAAGTGACACTCGTGTACTCGGTATCAGGTGGGATCTTCTTTCAGATGAATTTGTGTTTCCGCTGGATTTTCCAAAACTGGATAAGAAGTTCCGTACTGGTGGCACGGTGCCTACCAAACGGCAGCTGCTGAAGTTTATGATGAGCATCTTCAATCCATTGTGTTTACTCAGTCCGATTACAATACACCTGAAGATTATGTTCCAAGAACTGTGGCGGTTGCCATCCGGATGGGACGACGAAATCCCTGATAGCCTGGTCCCGAAATGGATGGAGTTGCTTAGCGAAACTGCTAAGCTGGAAGAAATACGTGTTGCGAGGTTCTACTTCCCGGAGGTATCGTCCCTTGCCGATACTGAGCTGCATGCTTTCTGCGACGCAAGCAATTTACATGGTTCATCGTCAAAACGGTAAGTCACACGTTGCATTGGTGTATGCCAAGGCAAGAGTTGCTCCACTGAAATCATCGATGGTACCACGATTTGAACTTCAAGGGTATGTTCTTGCAAGTCAAATGATGAAGGTAGTTCAAGACGAACTAAAAATAGAATTAAATATGCAGTACTTCTGGACCGATTCTAAAATCTGCTTAAGTTGGTAGAAGACGAGTCAGAAGCTCACAGCGTATGTTGGTTCTCGTGTCATGAAAATTAAGGAGAATGGTCATGGCGTTGATCTGTGGCATTGGGTTCCATCGCAGTTGAACGTAGCTGATTTGGCTACGAAGTCCTCCAAGTTTGGTTGTATGCATGAATGGTTGAAAGGTGCTGACTGTCTGTATCGGGATAGTGTCCATTGGCCGAACAATGAACCGCTACAGATGTCCTCTTCTGAGTTGGTAAATTTCCATACCGAAGTGATTGCTGATGTTTTCGTGGATCCGATGTGCTGTACCGTGGTTGAAGTTGAGTTGGTTGACCTTCCAGATATTGAGAGGTTCTCTGATTTCAATCGTTTGATTAGATCTACTGCGTACTACCTGAAAATGCGAAAGATTTTAGCACTGCCAAAGTGTGAAAAGCCTAGATGTTCGACATTCTCCGTGAACGACATGGATGAAGCTAAGAGTGCCTGGTACAGGAAGGAACAGTCGGAAGTTTTCTCTGAAGAGTTGCACAGTCTGAAGCAGACCGGATTCGTGAAAAGCAATAGTCGTTTGAAAACATATTCGCTGTTTCTGTATAACGGAATCATCCGTATGCGTGGTCGTGTGCAGGATGATGGAAAGTCGTTTAAAGTGAACAATCCTGTGATTCTTCCTGACAACCACCAGTTTTTAACTCTACTGATTCGCACGTACCATATCGCCAACGCACATCAAGGAATGGAGACCGTTGTTAACAACATCAAGGAACGGCACCGTATCCTGAAGATTCGCTCACAGGTGAAGAGGTACACAATGTCCTGTGTCAAGTGTCGTGAGCTTAGAGCAAAACCGACCGTTCCGCAAATGGGAAACCTACCACCGGAAAGAACAACCCCGTTCGTGTTCCCGTTTACTTGTACGGGTATTGATTATTTTGGACCGTTGTCTGTAAAAGTTGGTCATCGTGTTGAAAAGAGGTGGGTAGTATTGTTCACGTGTATGACATCAAGAGCTGTACACCTTGAAGTCGTGCCATCTTTAGACACGGGCAGCTGCATAATGGCCATCCGCTGTTTCATGTCCATCCGTGGCTTACCACAGTGTATCATGACCGACAACGGTACCAACTTTACTGGTGCAGATGCTGAACTGAAGAAACTGGTGAGAACTCTGGATCAGCAGCAGATTGAAGATTCGCTGGCTTCAGAGGTGTTTATTCCACCTGGTGCTCCACATTTCGGAGGTTGCTGGGAACGTTTAGTACGTTCTGTGAAGACTGCCCTTCGTGCAATCCTACGGCATAGGCACCCTACGGACATGGTGCTGCGTACTGCTTTGTGCGAGGTAATGAACACAGTAAACAACAGACCTTTGACACACGTTCCGGACGACCCCCTGGACCCTGAACCGATTACACCAAACATGTTGCTGGTTGGCCGAAACAATTCAATCCAGTTCGACCATAACTTTGATGAACGAGATCTTAACTGTCGTGCTACCTACAAGCATTCTCAGATCTACGCGGATCGTTTCTGGCACAGGTGGATAGGCTCGTTTCGTCCGGAGTTGATCAGAAACCGCAAGTGACCGGACAACAGGAATTACCACGATTATCTCGTCGGTGATCTAGTGATGATAGTGAACGAATCGCTACACCGTGGAAGCTGACCGAAAGGAGTTGTAGAGAAGATCTACCAAGAGCCGGATGGAAAGGTGAGAACAGTTGCAGTGCGGACATCAAAGTCGACCTACAAAAGACCTGTAAGCAAGGTTGTGCTGCTACAGGCCATCAGCTCGGTTCCTGGCTTGGGTAATGTTGCTAACGCTGCCAGTCCGAACTTTTCTACTCGGGTATCGCAGTCGTCGCACCGTCAACCCTCAGGCCACTTAAGCCCTACAGTAAAAGTATGGACGTCTGTCAAAAGTTGTTCCAATCGAACCGTCAAAATGCACCGCTTTGCTCGATTGGAACAGCTTTTTTCAGTTTTGTGGTGACAGTCGTCCATACTTTTACTGTAGGGCTTTACAGGCCACTCCTGAGCGTAACCATAGCAACGAAATAAATATCGTAGCAAGCGGGTGTGAAAAAAGAAAACGAGAGTGAAAACCTGATTGGAGCAAAACTGACGCTGTTTCCCCCCGAAAAACAAACATTCTGGACGTCTCTCGACAGTCTGGACACGAACTTCTGCAGACAGGTGAGCGAACACCCGGCCGTCAACGACCAGGACGATTGCTACAGGGCCCAATAATTATTGACTTGCTGGGACACCTGGAAAATTTGCGCTCACCCAAAAGCGTCCGGGATAACCTTCACGAACACGGGAACCGCTCGTACGTGCAGTCAGTATCATACTGACCGCGCGCTATTATCGGAGTATCCCGCGATTGACCAACGGAAATTCCAAGTTTTTAAAAGTATGTCTTACTAGCTCGAGTCTATCCATATGTGCGGTTCAGGTGACGGGTTCGGTGAAGCCTGCAGAAGGAGAATGATGTTTGCTCATTTCACGAACTTGAACACCAATCAGAAACCTTAATTCTTCGAGCATCCAACCAAAATCATATTTTTCGCTATTTTTGTAATATCTTCGGTAATTTTCAGCGGATTTCTGTCGTATGGTCATGTCGCAAGGCGGTTGGTACGATTGTTAGCTCAATTATTGGATTTTAAATTATTGTCGAGTCAGTGTCTACTGACCGCTTCAGCAACTTAAGGCTGATTGATTTCTCTTTGCATATTTTGCAATGAAAGCTTATAAAAATACCTAGTAGAATGCAACATAGTGGAATTTTTGATTGTACTACTGAAAGAGTATTGAAATCTGAAAAATATTGGTAAAAAAATAATAATCTGGATTTTACGATGCAATGGCAAAAACAGTAAACGTGACCAAGATATTAATGGAAAGTTGAAGAAATAGTCATTCCAACGTATAATCATAGACAAACAGACGTAACTCTTTAAATGAACTTTAAGTTTCAAACAGTTTTGTTTCGTGTTGACCAGATCTGTAATGGATCACCACCGAAGACGACATTCACCAGTTGCTTTTTACTTATTCCGTTAACTTGATAGATGGTCATGTGCTAGCAATGTGCCAAGCGTTACTACCATCAGCTGTTTGACGATCGTAATTGTGATAGGTCGCAACTCTGATATTGAGTTATTTGGGTCTGTTTATCGTTGTTTTGGAATTGTCTACCATTAAATTCAAAGACTATTTTTACGATTTCAAGTTGTTGTCATTTGCAAAATTATGATACGGGTTGTAAGGCTGTTTTAGTGATTTTCAATTCATTCTTGGCCATTTCAGTATTTTAAAGAATGGAACGGTCAAAAATTGGTCAATCATGATTAAATACACACTGATTATGTTATTATTTAAATGATTATATCTTTTTGAAGTTCAACAAAAATACAGGAGTATTATTGTATTTGGCTTCTTCTACCGGAAATCCTGGTTTCGGTTTGCTCTTGATCCTGGTTTCCTAACAGTCCTCAGATGTTCCCCAAACACTTTGGTGACATCTGTCACAGTCGATTTGGCCACTTTCAGCGATTTTGCCCAATTTGCGTAGGAAAAAATGGGATTTTGCTTATGCGCGAGCAAAATTTTGATACGCTATTGCTCTTGCTTCGACGCCATTTTGACAACTGAATAGTAAATGGCAATAACAAAATAGAGGCAACATTCCGCACACACCTACATTATGAGGGGTGTTCAAGTTTTTTAAGTGCACGATTAAAAAAACACCAAATTTTAGTTGACGAATTTTTTACCGTTCCACCCTTTAAAGTAATTCAGGTCATAATAGTTAAGGCTGTTTAAGCGATTGTGAGAGAAATTTTTGTGGTTTGACGTTTTAAAGATTGTTTCGGCATATCAAGATTATTTGGAGGGGTTTTCACGAATTTTCATCGTTTCGATGACCTTTTTGTAATTTCAGACAGTTCTTACATTTTCAAGGTAATTTTGGCGTAGCCTGTTGTCACGGAGTTAGTTTTTCAATAGATTTTATCATCTTGATGTGCTTTTCTATTAAGTATCAATACTACTTTGTCGTGTTTGATGGTTTTCATGCATTTTGAATAATCTTTCAGTGTTGTCAGATCAGTTCGCAGATTTGAGGCCGTTGTTTAACTGACTTGTCGATTTAACGCAAATTTAACTGTTTTATCTTGATTGGCATTTAATGGATATTTTAAAGTTGTTAAGCAGTTTCAATGACATTCTGTTTTTAGGTTAAAGGCAACAAAACTTTCAATTTTTGTTTGTATCATAGTCACTTTAACAGAATTCCCGAGTAGAAAGGAATAGCAAAACAAGAGCAAAATAATAACTAATTTTACTATCAATATATTATTATGTTATTGGTAAGTTGTGTGCTATAATAAGTTAATAACTCATTCTGTTATCAAAGCATAATTTTCTGTTGTTATGATATTTTGGTAGCATGAATTCAAGAGCTAATTTTGATCTAATAGCGGAATAAGCTACAATTATGTCATTATTTTTTTTTTATCCAAACAACATACCCATTATAGATAATATAGCAAAATGTGATATTAATTTGGTATGATTTTTGTTATTATTTACATATGCCAACAACTGACTTTGCTATTGCTACGTTATGGTCCCATAGATTTTATGATATTATTTTTTTATGTTACCAAACTAAAAGTAAATTTTGATGTTCTGTTCCCCAATTGTAATAGTGCAATTTGATATCACCTTCTACTCGGGTTTTGTTCAATAGCGAATTGTCCAGGGATGAGATTTGAACTCGTGACGTTAAGCGTGAGAGACATGGATGCTGTCTCTGATTTGAAGGCGGATTTTGGCGATTCAAAGCTATTTTGGAGCTATTAAGGTCATTTTGGTCTTACAGCATCTGTATTCAATATTGGTGGGTGGTAAGCTTATGGAATTTCTCAACGTGGGTCGCAGTCGACATAGGTTTGTGAACCGCTGCTGTATTTCAGTGGTTTTGCAATTTTGTTCAGGGTGGAGATGGTGAACAGTTTAGTTTAGAATTCTCTCAGTAGGCGGCACTAGTGTTCGGGTAATTGTCGGGTACTAGCTTTCAGTGGTTGTCGAGAAACACACCTAAATTTATTTCATTACACTCATACATATAGACAGAGATGTTCCAATATCGTCTAGCTGAGTCGATTGGTGTAGGAAACTTGGTTATCCGGGCTTCGGATCGAAAGTCGTTTTTTAAGAAGGGTAAAAAGTTACTCTGGGCTGTCCTGACTACACCGCAAACAACGAAAACGGTATAATACAACTCCTTAGTTTCGCAGGCACAGATCACTCACCGTTACTGCCGTTTAATTAGTAAATTTATGTGTTTCTTAGGTATTCCTTATTACGTAACTTCATAACGATAGCATTTAATTACTGTTCAACCTTCGCTCAGATTTCTAAGAATAACATGCACCTAGTCGTTAAATGCACTGAAGAATTTGTACAACAGCTCCAAAGGTAGGGGAAAAGTTTTCTGACAAGTCAAATAATTGGCACTCAAGTAAACGATGAAAAGGGTACCTACGAAGTTTCAATGAATCGTAATCAAAACAAACTTCTCGAAACAATCTAATTAGAATAATCCATTTACGCTCGAGCACTTCTGAGAACGAGTAGGCGATGGAGCAAATTAGCACCGCGTTTTTCGCGTTATAAAAATCGATATCCTGAGAAAGAAGACACCCCATCAAAGCACACACACAACACTCCACACGGTTAACATTTCTAGTTCAAACATCTTTCCACGGACCAAACAAACTAAACAGCAGCGAAAAGCGAGTAAAAACCAAAGAGAGATTTGTGGTCGGATTCAATTTTTCTCCATCATCATCAACATCAAGGCCCACTCACAAATCCGTAAAATGGAGGAAGCATGGACTAACGACAAAAAATAACCATCAAACTAGAAAGCCGATCCGCTTCTAATCGACCTTCATCCGTGCTTCCACAACAAGGATTATCATTTAACGAAGAAGTTCACCCACACAAACACATCAATGCACACACAGGAAATCAGACCCCTCAAGAGTTGGGGATTATTATAATAGCAAAACATTCCTTGAACAATCTGGCATGCTCGTCGTCAGCGGATTGCCAGAATCAAAGCAAGATTCTAACTTCTGTAAAACAGTAGCGTAGTTATATACCTATTCATCCTTTTAAAAAGCAAAATTGGAACGATTGAGACTTATCGGAATTGTCAGAACAATACACACAAACACACACTAAGATATTCCTAAAATGTTGCTCTTCGGTAACGTTTCTTATAGCCATTCGATTAGGATTTTGCTTCTAAAGCAGACACACTTGTGCGTGGTAGAAATAATCCCATTTAGTGGACAAGTCATATTCTTAGTTAGTTTCTATATTCAATGTGGATCTAGGGAAATTACTCATTTAGATCTTAGGGAATTTACTCTCTGTTAACTTTTTTCACGATACTATAAAACACGATTTACACTCACTAAAGTTTGATGTTTTGCTTAGGTATTTTTGTGGTATTTTCTTAGTTCAATAAGTTCCCAATATATGAATTATATCAGTTAGCAGTTCAAGTTTCTAATTATATTAATGCAAATAATTTCACGAGATAAATAGCTAGTTTTGATTATGTCTGGTTTTCTGCACTTTTGAGAAGCAAATGGATAATGCTCATATATTGAATGAAATCAGGAAATTCACGAAAGTCATTAGATTAAATAAAAAAAATCCAGAAAGTATTTCAACATTTAAACATTGGCAAACCTAGGATAACGAAATTGAAAATGACATGACAGTCCACACCAGTCACCAGTTATAGTACCTAAAATTTAATTGATAAAATATCTTATAAATCTTTGC